AGGTAGACTGGCCTAAGGGTCCTGTTGCCCTTGACTGTGACCTTCACAATTGGCCCCCTTGCTCCCCACGGGCAGGATTCTTCCTTGTCTGAGGAAGAAAGTGCCACAAATCCACAAACACTGTGCGCTCTCACCCTCACCATGTGCATTTTAAATCAAGTTAAATGTTGGTTCAAATGGAATTGCTGATGGCTTCATTCAGAATTTCTAGACACAGTAAAGAAATTGCATAGTGGCTAAAAAGAAAACTTGTGTTATTAAAATGTTAATCTGCAGTTCACAAAACAATGGATGAAATATAGAGATTTAGTAGAGAAAGAAATCATTTCAGACAAGGGGATAAAAGAAGTAGTTTGCACACCAGGCAGAGGATGATTTATATCCAGACCAGGGTGAACTGGGTTAGAGATTTGCTCCCCATGTAATATTCTACTCACCACACTTGTGTTAATTCTCACAAGAAGCTTATAGTTTCTAACCCCAGTTTAGCTATGTACTGGCCTCTATGACCTACTGTGGAAATCAAAAATCCTTTTGTAAAAGGAAGAAGCATGTTACTTTATTTTTCTTAACATCTCTATTGCTAAACACTCTGCTCCCATAGACTTTACCTTATAGTCATAAATTGCATTCACAGATCCACAAATCTTAAAAAGAAAACTAGACTCACATAATGAAGCTAGAGCCATTAAGCTAGAATGTATCATCTTAGAGAATGTAGGATGATTAACGTGCAGTGGGAGTGTTTACTAAAATCTCACAGAAGTTAAAGACTCACACAGTAGAAGTGATTCAGAGGAAGGCTTACTTATTCTCTGGTTTACTTAGTGTATAAGTTACTAATGAAATAATTCTTAGTCACAAAACCTTTGGCTCCATTGAGCTGAGATTCACAATTCATCTCCAGAAAAATACAAAACATCCACTTTTATCATGTTATTTTTAATCTGTCAATTATCCTTAATGTGATACCTTGTCTCTAAGTTAAGCACCTTGGTGCCTCTGAAAGACTCCGTGAATAAGAATCAAAAGGCCTGACTTCTAGCCACAATTCCAGTACTTTTTTGGCAGTGGAAAATTTGTGATTTCCATGGAGGTAGGAACCATATCTGCTGTTGGTAACATCAAGTTCTTAATGCCTACTAAGAATATGGTCTGTAAAGATGAGACAATAACTACTTGCTATATGAATGAATGAAGCCACTGAAGTTTCTGCACTTCAGTGTTCTCAGATATGCAAGAAAATTATTTTTGTTATAACCAGTGCTATTCAATTTTCATGATCCGTTGAATATTGGCCTACTTCACAGTAGAGCTCTGTAAGCCTATTGATTTTTTCATGATAGCTAAAGGGGACAAAAAGCAATGATAACAGTTTGAAAGAACTAACATAAGCCATTATTTTTTACTCTTCATCTTTGATGTTATCAGAACAGTGCAAAGATACAGACAATTTCACTGGTACATAACTCAACAGTCATATTGCACTTGGCAACAAAATGTATTTTTGTAGTTTCGTTTGAATGAAAGGTTATCTAGTTTGTGTAGTCAAACTAAAACAAAAGGATGAAGTTATAGCGATAGTATCTGGTTCAGGATTTCCTTATCCTGTGTTCCTGCACTTAATCGACACAGGATGACATTTTTCTGGATCTGTGTCACATTTTTTCTCTCCTGAATGAAACAGACCATTGATTTAACAAAACTCAATGAAATACCTTAACTGACACAGTGAAGAGAAAAGGGTAGATCTAGTGTTGTCGCACTAAAGAAACAGACATACACAAAATCCAAGCCACAACACGGTGAGTATCAAACTAGAACCCTTGCAACTTGCCCTCTTCCTAGAGATAACCCTGCCTCGATTGATACAGTGACTTGGAAGCCATCCAATAGGAAAGTGTCACGTCTTTTTCCCCTTCAACTCTACTATAAATCTCCACTGTCAACCTTTTTGCTTTAAAACATTCAAGCATCAGAAAATGAAAAACAAGATTTTGAAAATGACCAAAGTCTCTCCCAATTACCTTCAGAGTTTAACAGTGCAGCTAGATGAATTATCTTCAGGATAATTTTGAAATTGTGTTTCCCTCTGTACAATTTCTGACTTGTTTGGTGCTAGGCCCTGACAACTTTCTGGCTGAATGGTGGGGTTAGCTGCTTAAGACTCTGCAGAGGGCTGAGGATTGAGCTCAGTGGTGCCGCTGCCTGCTGTGCAAGTGCAAGGTGCCAAGTTTGATAACCAGTACCAAAAAAAAAAAAACCAAAAAACTGCAGAATACAATAAAAAAATTCAAGAGATTGAGTGTGTTAAATTTAATTTGATAATTTTCAAAATAAACCAAAGTCAGTAATTGCAAATATGTATCATCAGGTAACTTTCTAACTACTTCACCTACTCAGTCAAGCCACTACTTTCGCCAGGGAATGATTAGAATTTTCAATAAATCTGCCATGAACATTTAGTGTTGCCCAGCAAAGTATTCTAAAAAGACTGTATTCATGTACCTTGGGAGAATTCCTTCCTCACAGATACAAAAATCCTAATAAGAGCTTTTCCTCTTTTTGTAAAGAAAAAAGTCTTGTTACTTTAACTAATGCTTTGGGTCCTTTGGGGTTTTCTTGACTAGATAAATATCAAATAATATAGCCACTTCAGTATTAATGAATACACTCTAAGTGTCTCATACTACTAACAGACAAATTTATTGAAAGTCAATAATTCTATTTTCCTATATGATAATTTTTCAAAATTAACTTAGCTACATAAGTCTTAATAATGGAAATTGACTGACAATACAATACCACAACATTTGTGATCCTGGACTATTAGAATTGAGTCAATATTAACAACAAAAAAAAATCTTACTCTAAGAAGGAAATATAAAGTATAAATAAGAACTAAAAGGTAGACTGTGAAATAGGAAGAAAAGAGGCAAAGGGAAGGGGAAATGGGAGGGGGAGGAGAAAGGAAAGAGGGGAATGGAATTAATGTGAGAAAATGAAAAAATGGAAACAAAGTCTTTGTAGGTAGGGAGGGATAGATGAGTTGAAGGGACAGCAGGAGAACGGGGAAAAAATAAGACCCACGATGGATTACGTAAAGGTGCAAATTTCCAATAATGAATGTCATTATATTGTATATCTTAAATGTACCAATAAAATTAATTTTTAAAAAAGGAAATATAAGTAATGATGACATACAGGAGGTAATACTTAGATATATTTCTGAATATTAATGTTATAGTTAGCAAGAGAATTTTAAAAACACAAAGCATTCATTTACTGCTATTGTTTTACAATATAAACCATCATCCTTCATATTTATTTATTATAAGCTACATGGTCACATAGGGACATACATTTAATAAACATATACAGTTTAGCAATTTTTTAAGGATTTTATTCCATAGACAAGGAGAGATGTACTAAGGTTTTCAAGGTCAAACCAAATTAAATGAATTCATGTTTACTGAGCCAAGTAAAGCACTGAAGTCTTACTTTTAGTCAACAACTAGGATTTGGATTTTTGTTTTTTAGACTTATGCCTTCTCATAATTTTACATTTTTCTCTCAAAATAAAAATACCCATTTTTCTTTGAGTTTATCAAAGGGTTTTAAGATTACTCAATTAGGGTATCACTTTTTTGTTTGTTTGTTTGTTTGTTTTGAGACAAGGTCTCACTATATAATTGAGACTGACCTGGAATTCACTATGTAGCCCAGGCTGGTCTTGAACTCACAGTGATACTCCTGCCTCTGCCTCCTGAGTGCTGGGATTACAGGCATGCGCCACCACGCCCGGCTAGGATATCATATTAAAGATGACAAAAGGACTAGAATAAAATTATTCTACAAGAGATAATCATAACCAAGGAGAAGCCAGAAATGATCATTGGCAAACATTTCTCAGGGGATAGTTTAATAACATAATATGGGTGTGGGAAGCCATATACCACTAGGCAATTAAGAAAGGGGCCATTAGCTAAGCCATTGTCTGAAACCCACTGAATCACTGGTCCCTTTGAAAAATGATTGGTCCTTTTTTTCTACAGATGGGTTTTAAATTTTAAGAGGAATTCCAAGCAGCAGGGCTGATAGAGAAAAAGATCACAGATCTTGCACGGTGCTAGATTTCTTAGGCATAGGAATAAGGTAAGATATCAAATCTTTGCTTTCATAATTTTAAGAACCCAATTCTGTAGGATAGACTACCAAAGTCTCCCTAAATACTTGGCAAGGTCAGTGATTTGAATTTTCGCATGAAAAAATGAGAGATAATATACTTCCACTGGTTACACTACAAGTCAAGGCTGCAGTTTAATTTTTCAAAGTAGAAAAATACTAATTCAGTCCCTAATATTTCATAATATTATTAGACTTTGAAATAGAAATTATGTTATATTGGGCTAGTATCATCAGATTTTTATTCTGGTGCTTGCTTTTTTTTTTTTTTTTTGATGTAGACTTTCAGAGGAGCCAATTGGTTCACCCCAGGCATGAGCCTCAAATAGTGTACAGAGGACATTCAGCTGCATTCTATGTCACGAATGAGTCCTTTGGACAAGCAAATAATTTTGATCTCTTCCTTCTGGGTTTTTTTGTTGTGGGGGGGGTTGTTGTTTTTTGTTGTTGTTGTTGTTGGGTGGTTTTTGTTTTTTTGTTTTTTTTTTTTTTTTTGGTATCAGGGATAGAACTCGGGTCCTTGCACTTGCAAGGCAGGCAGCAGAACCACTGAGATAAACCCCCAGAAAAAATTTTGATTTCTATAAACATTTGCTGTGAGAGAAAAGAAAAAATTATGTTACAAAGATTTATAAATGCAAATTTTAATTTTAAACCTTAAACACAAGTATATACTAAAATTTTTATTCAGTTTACACTCTTCTGGTTGAACCCAATTACTTTTGTCATGACTTTAATTTTATCATAATTTTTAAGTAGAGAGTATTTTTAAAGCTTAAGTATTACAACTAATTTCCTAGGTATATAATCTGAAAATGAAAATTATCATTTTTCTTGGACTCCTGGGAGCTACATTGTCAGCCCCGGTAAGTGCATTTATGGTACTTTTTATCTTATCGTGTAAACCTGTAACAATCCCTTCTATAACCAGATCTGTTTTCTTTTGTTTTGTGTTTTTAGCTTATCCCACGGCACCTTCTGTCTGCTAGCAATAGCAATGAGGTTAGTTTAAATAATTAAAACAATTTCCTCCATTTTCATAAGCAAAACCCAGTAATAAGATGTAAAAGTTTTCCCTTGATATAGCCTGGATCCCATCTACTAGCTTTTACACATATCTAAACAAATTCCCAACTTTATTTCTGCTATGTATACCAGGATCTTTTAAAAGTATTATTTTGTCCCCTTGTTTGATTGCAAGTTCTTCAAGGGCAGAGACAACATCTCCTATACCAATGTGGATGCATAGAGTGGTATAAAATTATAAAATAGCTATCTGAAGCATAACAAAGGGCTAACATTGTGCAATTTCATACACTATGGGAGTGATGTCATTAAAGCCCAACCCTGCCTTCATTTCTAAACTGTCCATACTCACTCTAATTGAATGTAAACTAGTGGGAAAATGTTCCACTTCTAGCAAGAAACCAATCAATAAGCTCTGAGTTTTGCTATATTTGTAGTAAGCATTGTTCTCGATCATTTTAGCCTTCCTAGTAATCTTGTTTTTATGTTATTTCTCTTGTCTAGTTACTTCTGAACCTTAATAATGGTGAACTTTTGCCACTGAAGCTTCAGGTATCTACCTCAAAAGTCAATTTAAGGAAAATATTTATTTACTGCTTATGTCTAATGGTATTTTGTAAGAGAACAAAGAAGTATCCTAATTCCATGGCTGAAATCTCAATTTTAGCAATTGCAATTTTGCCCTATATGCTCTAACCACCATTTATTTAAAAGTAAAACCTAACATTCTTTTGTAAAGAACTTGGTATATGCTATATACTAATTCTCACAACTATGAGAAAAATCATAGTCACCCAAAATCATTTTACACAATCTTATCCAGTTTATCAGTGGTGATAGAGACGAAAACAAGATTTGCAAACAATCTAGTCATTTCAAAACTTGTGCTCCTTTTTCAACCTCTCTCTGTCCTGCATTTCCACAACCATTGAGAATTTAGTACTATATGTGTGGCTATAGGATGCTGCCTTTTTCATAATGTAGCTCTGAAAATATAGAGACTGTTCAGATATTTCACCTCTTTCTTGCTCAGGACTGAATTTAAATTCCTTTGTGTCCTTTCAGGGCCCCCTTAATTCCTGGGTGCCCCCCTTCTCCAGAAGGGGCCCCCTGCAACAGCCACAGGCTCCTATCCCAGCACTTCCTCAGATCTCACTGTCAACTGTGGACCAGCTTGTTGGACTGTTCCCAAATGAGATTCCTTTCCTGAGACAAGTCAGTTTTGCCCAAGGAGCCCAGACTGGACAGCTGGACCCCTCGCAGCCTCAAACACCGTCACAGACCCAACAAGGCCCTAACCCTGTGAGTCATGCTTTTCCATCTTGCAGTCCTGAGGAGAGAGAGCTATGTTTGATGTGAAAGTGAATATTAGCCAGATTTCAAATAAGACAGTAGTCCTATCGAGAAGTTTTTTTAAAATCTCGTTGTACCTTTCTACCATTATTGAAAGCACTTCCTTATATTTTCTGATTTTTAAAATGAAAGACACAGTCAAATCAGCTATTCTAAAATACAGCCAGAAATAGAGTTAAAACAAGTTTTAAACAAGATAATCAGAAAAATGTTATCTAAAAAAGAAAAGACAAGCTGTGGTAACAATAATTCATACAATGGATATCTTTGTTGAGGATCCCTCCAACGCATGCTCTGTGACTGACCCTATGAAAAGCAACTTGAAATGTTCAATAACCATCAAGTATAACTTTTTATATGCTTCTTCTTGTGCAGGTGATGCCATACGTATTTCCCTTCAACATGCCTCAAGAACAAGCACAGGTAAATAAGCAGGAGTCCAATGCTAATAATCAAGGGAGCTGCTGCTCACCCTCTCTTCAATGTTTTCTTTGATTCTCTAGCTCTCCGATAGCAAGGCAAATACCCATACAGTGATGTCTGGGCTGGCATTAGTTTACAGATACTGGGGTCACTTTGCTCTTCAAAATGGGAAGATCAGAGTCTCTGGGACCCTTGGATCCTCAGAACATTGCTATGTTGAGAGAAAAGGAGCTCACTAAGTCCCAGATCATGTTCTCTGCATCTAGAGCGCTAGCATTCAGCAACAACTGAAAACCAGTGCAGTGGACTGACTTTGCACAAGCCCAAATTTTGTTTCAGAGGGCAATGCATTCATATTACTAGCTGTCCTACAGCAGGGCTATAAAAGTGCACACTACACCTATTAAACTGTCAATCTATGATATGATGTAAAGATAGGACATAAAAACACTCCCTTATGTTATTTGGTAGTTATAGAATTCTGCTGAAAGTATTTCCAGATTTTTGTATACAGTTTCCATTTGATTCCATATTATAATTAAATGGTGATAATTTCTTCTAAATAAGAGAATATTTTAAAAATGAGTGTAAACCAGTAAAAACTCAATGTTAATATGGAAAATGCTATCAATATTGGGATAATTAATTTATATTATCCTGGATTCAAAGACACTGTGCTATACATAATTTCTGCTGTTTACCAGCAGAATATTGAGTTTTCATAAAAAGTTGCACCATTTTACTCTTCTGTAATTAGAATTATATAGTAATTTTATCTCTCCTAACCCCCATTACAAAACAAAACTTACTTTTAGACATTATCTCATCTTCTTAAGCAATTAGCGTAGATCTGTGATATGCAGAATTACCTCATTTAGGTATCAGGAAGTTTAGTCCTGATGGGATTAAATTCAGAATCCCAGTGAAACTAAACAGATGAGCTGGAGTACAATTTAGTGCTCTTTTTTAACCACTAGAAAAATGGCTCTCCACCCTGACTTTACCACAAATTCACTGGTGATAAATTGGAAAATTACAAGTCAGGCCTGGATCCTACCCTAGAATAATAAATCAAAGCCCAAAGTTAGATGACAAATAAAAAGACTCAACAAGTGATTTTGATTTTTAGTCAATAGTAAGAACTCCTGCACAAAATACAGATAAAAAGCGTGGCCTATGATGATCTAATGGAATCTCTTGTCTCCTCCTCTGTTTACAAATAGACACATCAGTACTATCCTGTTTACATGTTCCTACCCTGGGAGCAACCTCAACAAACAGCCACACAGTCACCCCAACAAACAGGGCCGCAACAATTTGAGGAACAGGTACTACCAGTATTTGATTTTAAGTGTGTGTGTGTGTGTGTGTGTGTGTGTGTGTGTGTGTAACTGAACCCAGACTTCTGTGTGCACTACCCAAATGCCCTGCCAGGAAGCTACACTCCAACCCTATCTGATTAATTTCATCTGAGAATAGGGTAAATTCACAAAGGAAACGTAACATTTAGAGAGGGAAAAAACTGCATATAATTAGCCCAAATAATCAACAGCTTGCCCTGGTAGACATAAGATACAGTGTTTCTTATTATAATCACTTGTGTAGACTATCTGGTAATGCTTCAAGTCTGTTTTTTAAATGAATGAAGTCAGTGAATGGACTCTAATACAATTAGAAGCCAAAAGCGAAGCACTTCTGGAAATAAAATTTCTCACATTTAAAATCTACCAGCATCCATCTTTATAAATTACATAAATTAATGCATGTAATTAATACTGAAAATTATAAAAGAAAACATTAGAGCACCCATCTTGATGAAAGATGCCTTTAATCAATTGATCGTGAGCCATTTAGACATGAGTATATTGAATATCGTGAACCTGCAACAAATTTTCAGAATTATAATGTAAATTCACATGGCTCATACATAGCTACCATTCTTCGAGTAAAAATGGAAATGTCATTCAAGTGAAATAAATAGGACAGATGTGTTATAAATACCAAATAGTTTCTCTGGTGTGAGAAACTGAAAGTGTACATAAGGATCAAAAGGCCTAATAGGAATTGTGAAATAGGAAGAAAAAGTCCAAAGGAGAAGAGGAAGTGGGAGGGTTGGGGAAAGAAAAGAAGGGAATGGGATTAATATAAAAAAATGGAAAAATTTTAACAAATTCTTTGTAAATAGGGAAGGGGAAGGGGTTGAACAGAAGGCAAGGGAATGGGAAAAAAAAATAAGAACCAAGATACATTATGTAAAGGTACAAATTTCAACTGATAGATGTCATTGTATTGTATTGTGTACCTAAAATGTACCAATAAATTTTTAAATAAAAGTACTTGAGAACTAAAGATTAATCAAACATAGGAGAAAAATAGATTAAAGCAAAAATTAATAAAATAGATATCAAGAAATAACACACTGACAGAAACTAATTATGGAAAAGACTAATTAAAATAGTCTAGTCCTGAACTTAATTTATAGAGCTTTACAAATGTACAATAATCAATGTGAATAACTATGTCAATAAACTTGAAAACTTTGAAAAATTTTTAAAAAGAATGGAAATGTCTTTTTCAATAGTTTAATCACTACTTTAAAACATGTTAAAACAATTTATTTGAAAGTGGAAATTATGTTTTAAATAACTGGTAATACTAACCCCAATTGTGCTATGTATGTTTAGGAAGAAAAAGAATTTTAGCCCAGGATATTCAAAGGATTACTGGCAACTTAATAATTAACTTTTATCAGTTGAAACATATGAAGTTTAAAAAGCATTTAATTAATGCAAAAAGATACATAATTTAAGTAATCTTTTACTACAAATTCATGACAAACATCAACAGGGTAAATCCAATGTGTTTTCCCAAACCTGCCAGATACCATTTTATGCTCAACATGAATACATTCCACAGCCAGCAGAAACTGTGAGTAAATGCATGATTTTCATCTTTGAAAAATCCTTTGCAACTACTTGTTTAATTACCACTATGGCAATACATCGTCATAGTTATGTCAATGTGTCTTTCAGCCAACGACCTCCAAGAACCCTGTAGTCGAACAAAACTGGATTTTTCCACACACTGCTGTGAGGAGACCACCCGGGGGGCCGGGGGTGTCTTCACAGGATGCTGTTAGAATGACCTCTGGGTGCTCTGAGCTTGTTAGGTGGGGTCAGAGGGAGTTCAGGGGAAGAGGGCTTGCTCAGGGTGGATATTTTCTGGGGCTGGGGATGGTCCGATGACTGATTCTCGTGAGGATTCTCATATAGAAGCAAGCGTAATGGAGCAAGGCAAAAGCTGTGACCAATGCAGAAGCAGGATCCTAGTAGTCACCAGCGTATGAGGGTGTTTGGTGCTGTTGTGACTTGCACAGTGACCTTGCTTTAAACAAGTCTTGTTTCCTTAATACTATTGTATACAGAGACAACCTTCCCCATGTCGGGGTTCTGTAAGACTGGACAACAAGAAGTTCAGGGTAAACCACACAGTAGGGCATAGCAGGGTGTATTCAGAAGCAAACCTTCCAGAACCCAGGCAGAACAGAGTGTCCACCCATCTCTAAAATCAGGACGTGCTTTTCCTCAAATCTGCACTCCTTTTTGCTTTTAAGAAAACAATTGAAGAATTAAGAAGTGTTTGGCGGCTTTGATATATATCATTAATTTACACTGTCTTAAACTTCCTATTCCCCAGGGTGTACCAGGAGGACAGCAGCAGTCTGCACTTGACCCTCTCCTGAGCAGAGCACCTGAAACAGTGGTGATGGTAAGATTACTTACAACACCTCACTGGCCACTGGACATAAACAACTGACAAACTGTAGGTTCCTCCACTAATGCTGATTTTAACATAAACTTCATTCTTATTCTATTACTGTTCTTCCTCTAGCGATCTTTTTTAGTCAAGACACAATTCACTTAGTTCCTCAAATATTTATTGAGGATGTCAGATATTATTCTACATACTCTTGTTTAAAAGCAAATGGTTGAAGACAATTGTATTTGTGGAATCAATTCATAAACTATTAAAAATAAGTTATGGGGGCTGGGGATTTAGCTCAGTGGTTCTGTCACCTGCCTTGCAAGTGCAAAGACTTGAGTTCGATCCCTGGTACCAAAAAAAAAAACATAGGTTATGGTCTAGAAAACAAAGATACTTCTTGAAGGTAATATTTGCCTTGCACCTCAATCTTGCTACTTGATATTCTTCCCAATTTTGACCAGTTTGAACCTATCTCCACTTCATTTACATTTCAATTCCATGTAGCCAGCAGGAATGATGCCATATTTACAAAATGAAGGCGTGAACTTTCAGCACGACAAAGCAGGAGTGTTTATGCATTCGACTTCACCAAAACCCAGAACTGCCAATTTTTTCACTACTGCTATAGACCCAAAACTTGCCTCAGAGCTTCCGGAAGAAAAGGTAGAAATCATTATTCTATAAGAAACTGTTTTCTAATGCAAAATATGAGTTAGTTCTTAACTTATAGGACTGAGTCACGGACATAATAATATGACTGATGTGGGCTGGGGATTTAGCTCAGCAGTTCCGCTGCCTGCCTTGCAAGCACAAGGACCCGAGTTCTATCCCCGGTACCAAAAAATAAAAATAATAATAATAGTAATAATACGACTGATGATATAATCAAATATGTTGTCTTAACCCTTGATAAGGTGACCAACAATTATTTTTGATAATCAATTAATCAGACTAACTCAATTCTAATTTTATCAGAACTTCTTATGAATGTCCTTTTCTTTCTAGGCCATGACTGACAGCCTAAGAGAACCATAAGATGGTGTCCAACCATTTAGAATTTTTGGTAGGTATTTGCCAAAAGCCATGCCTTAAATGCCCTGAAAAAGTGCTAAAAGAAAAATTGGTGTAAAGTACTAATGGATGATTATTTCCAAAGTGATTATGAAGAAGCAAGCTAGTGTTTATATCTACCTAAATATGCTTATTATAAGACTCTGACATTTTTAATATCAAAATTAACTTGAGAATCATAAATTGGTGTCAGTTCTTACAACACAAACACTTATTATATTAGGTGCATATAAAAGACATGCTATACATGTAGAATCAGTTCTCCCGAATCATTTCCCTTTGGCAAGTTAAACAGTGTAAGAATGCCAATGCATCTGTGTTAGTTTGAAAATCTCAAATTATAAACAAATCTCAGAGGAACAAGACAATTTCAAATTTAATAGCTTTTATTGCAAACAAACTTGCATAATTAATTACCTATCTAAATATGCTTGGTTAGCTGTTGAAGCTGCAGTGGGTATTTGGTAGAAGAACAGGCCTGGAATGCCACTAGAAAGCAAAAATACATGTTAAAAAAGCAAACAATTGGACCTGAAGGGAACCTGAAAAAGAAAGGATTTTGAAATTTCCTCATTGGTATCTGTGAGTCTCTTCTGACCCCTTCCTATGAAAAAATGTATTCAGAATTCTCCAGATACAATAGTCTAATAAGAAACAGCTGAGATTGAACAGTACTAGAACCTCTTCAGAAAAGCTTCCTCATAGATGTTATTGTACAATGCAAGTCAATTCTGGTATTCAACCAGAAATACTAAAGGGTTTCAGGACAGTGAGACCTTTGCTCAATGTAAAACAAACACCAGTGAAAGTTAACTTCCTATTTCTCTAATACACAATCTAAATGATATCTAGGAAAATATTTCCACAAATCAGCCTAACAGTACTGAAATGCTTTATCTTTTTTTTTTTCAGAAAAAAATGGGCAGTGCCTTGGATATCATTTTAAACTATTTACTTCCTTAATGCTAATATCAATTATCTGAAATGTACAAAATGTCTTCACTCTTCTCCTGAATTTAGCTGTTCTTATATTAGCCTCTTTAAATGTGTCGTAGAAACATAATATAATCATATAGTAATAAGTCTCATTTTCACAAAATAATATTGCTTTCAAATATTCTAACATTGCATAATCTGGAATATAACAATACTAAGCACAAAGCTAATGTTAAACTTAGTGGAATAATTATATTCATAAATGATCCCTCTGTGATATTGTGTCATCTGTGAGAATAAAGATACTTGTCAGTGGATTCATGATGGGTGTGGTGGTTGTCACTGTTGTACTAAAATGTGCACCAGCACTGAAACATGTAGGCACCTCAGTACATTTCCCAAGCCCATTCCCTCTGCTGGATTCCTCGTGAAAATCAAACTTACTGTTGAAAAAAATTTTGAAGTGCCTGCTTTTGATATGAGAGACCTAAATGAAGAGATGTCTGTTCTCACACTGAAGGGTAAATATGTAGGAAGATGGATATTTATTTGGGGTAGCAGAAACCTATAAAGAATGGGGTACAGTTTGGGATTTCATCAGATTTGGCCCTGAAACTTCAGGATGTCACCTTTATTGAATCTTGAGTGTAAATTAAATAATAAATCTAAATATTTAGAAATTCTGAAAAGACTGTTTGAAATAATACATGTAAGACATCTGGCTCATATAAAGTACTCAGAAAATGTTAATTGTTCTCTCTCAAGTACTTTCAACCTATTTTCGCAACAATGGACACTCAGCTGAAGTTCTGAAAAAACAAAAATTGTTATTCAATATAACTTTACGTATTTGTAAATGTGTGTTACTGTGTGTGTGCATAAATGGAAAAAGAATGAATGAATATGTATCAGGTGGTTCTAATAAAATTTGGTGATTATTCTAGGATTCAAAGTTGAACACAAGGGCTGGGATTTAGCTCAGTGATTCCACTGCCTGCCTTGAAAGCACAAGGACCCTAGTTCAATCCCCAGTAGTGAAACAAAAAAACAAAGTTGAACACAACTAGCATTTAATAGTGTTATAACCTGCAATCTGCTACTTGCCCCTATGGGAGAGTAACCCAATAATCATCTATCACATTTTTATTTTATTCTTTATCCTTTTCTCTAAGTTGATGTGTTGAATAAATGTAATTCTGATTGAGTGATTGATCTTTTGATATGGAACATGAGTATTCAAACACCAAGATACTTAATAAAAATTAGGTATTCAACAGCTACAAATATTGTGTCCCAAAATCCCACAAATTCAGAGAATCATTTTTAAAATTAAGAGGAAATTTAGATTAAGTGCTTAGAATACATCTTAAAACATAGCAAGTATTTAACTTTTTCTTTAAAGAGGAGGAAGGGACTGAAAAGAGGAAATAATGAGAAAAGATGAGTACAACTCAGCTTTTCTGTTCAAAACAAGACAATGGAGAAGCAAGGGAAAACTGAAAAAACAGGTATCAAGGTGTAATGAACTCCAGAGTTTGGCAATATTAGGGCATACAATGAAAAATACTTAGAAAAATAGGGTGCAATGATTAACTTTACTATCAATTTGGAATAAGGAAAGATGGGTGGCTGGTTAAACAGTATTTCTGTGTGTTTCTGTGAGGATATTTCTGGAAAATATCAACATTTGAATCAGTAGACTGAGAAAAGATCATAATCCCCAATGTGAGGGAGTATTATCCAACCCAGTGAAAACCTCAGTAGAACACAAAGTTGGAGGAAGGGGTAATTTGTTTTCTATACTTGCTGGGACATATATAGTCTCCTACTTTTAGACACTGGAGCACCTGGTTCACAGGCTTTCTCACTTGTGTTGGGACTGGAACTCCCCAACTAGCTCCCCTGGACCTCCTGATTGTAGAGCACAGATGGGTCTTAGCTTGAATAATCATATGAAACAATCTCTTATAATAGATGTATTTATCTATATCTTTATATACTAAATTGGTTCTGTTTCTCTAAACACTACATTAAGAAATTAATCAAAATAAATATTTTCTTAAAAACAATATTAAACTATACAAGCTGCGTTTATTCATTTCAAGCAATATTAACAGGGCCTTAATACCATGGATAATTTTAACTGGTCCAGATGAATGTCTTCATGCATGAAAATAAGTTATAGAATCTTATCCAATACTCAATCTGTTATAGAAAGATGTTAAGTTTTGCTTAGGTGTTCATCTGCAGCAAGTGAGTTTGAATATCTGAATAGAGAAACAACTATCAATTAGATATTCACTTGTTTTCAAAATATTTTATAAGAGCTTTAAAATACATTATTTTAGTTAACAAAATTCAGAAGATGAGAGTGTGAAGTGTGGAAGTAGCACCAGAATATATGCAAAGAACAATGTTCTTTTTTCTTTACAGTTACACAGCTCTTTGCATTTCATTAGTACTTTTTAGGTATACAGTACAGTTACATTCATCATTGTAATGTTCTTTGTTTTAACTCAAGTACCCCATCACGGTTTACAGAAAAAAAAATCCAAAGCCTCCTGTGTGTGGAGGGTTACATGGAGGTGCTGTACTCATCAGTACATTCACCCATTGTTGAGTTCAGTACCTGAATGTTCTATTAGGAGGTGGCCTTTGATAGATGTGGGTCACCTAGGGCATAACCTGGAAAAGTGTGTTTTTGTCCCTGGGGCCTCTCTTCTCTCTCTGCTTCCTGCCAGGCATGAGTTGAACATCTTTCTCTTCACCAAGCCCCTTGGTATCCTCTTTGTGCCTTATAGCTAGACAACCACAGACGAAAACTATAAATCAAAATAAACCTCTCTTTCCTTAAATTGAGGGTGTTTGGTATTTTGTCCCACTGAAGGAAAAGTGTCTAAGACAGACCTTAGGAGTCAGAGTGGGTCCTTGCTATGACTACACCTGACCATTTGGATTTGGATCATGAGAGGAGTTTTTAAAAGGTTTAGAACTGCTTGCTTGAGAAGCCCTAGAATGCTGCACATAGAATTAATAAGTAAAACTAGCCAGAACTCAGAAAATTAGCATGTTAATAGAAATGTAGATAGAAAAGGCCATTCTCAAGAGATTTCAGTTGGGAACAAAGACTCAAAAGCAATTCAGTTAGAAACCAGCGGTGATACACTCAGGCAGAAAATTTGTCTTCATTTTGCTCATGTCCTTAGACTGCAAACTTAGATTAAGGGCTGTAGACTAATTAATTTGGTGGAGAAAATTTCAAACATTTGGGCTTTGGCATGGGTATTACTGGTTGCTTTCAGCCAGACTAGCAGTGAAAGTCAAGAGTAAAAAAAAATGTGAAAAGTTTGTGCTTTCTTTGGAAAGGAAGAACCTCAAAAGGTGAAGCAAAAAGAGCTTGGTTGCTGAAAATATTAGGATTAAAAAGAAACCAAGCTGGGCCTGGGATTTAGCTCAGTGACACAGTGTCTGCCTGGCAATTGTGAGGTCCTGAATTTGATACCTGGTACCACAAAAAGGAACCTCCCCCCAGAAGAAGAGTGAGAAACACAGCTGCATGGAGCTTGTCTGGGACCAGAACCCCACCCCCTGGGCCTCAGCAAAAGAACAGTGAGTGGCAAGGTTACTCAGGTACCTGCAGCCCATCACCCCTCTTCGCACCTCTGGCCTCCTGGTTCACTGGTACCTGGTTTCACACCACAGAAGCAATATGGAGTCATAAAGGCCATTGTTTGAGGTCTGGCCTCAATTTTGACTTTTTTCACATGGTTAAAGGTGATAGATTAATAATTACCACAAACTGTCATTTTCTAAACTGTGCTTGATGCTATTATCTTCCTGATGATATCACTTAGTCTAAGGTGTTGTGATTAATCTAATCACTCGTCCTTCCTGGTATAATGAAAAAGAGATTGCCTCAGAGTCATTAGAGACTCAAAACCTAAAGACAAGCTATAACAGGAAGATTGAAGTATTAAACCAGGAATTTAACCAAGGACAGTACCAAAAACAAAAATAGAAATGAGAAGACATTCAATCAAGACACGAGCACAAGCACAAACACAGGCTGCCAGCTCAGCAAAGACAAATTCTAAAAAAAGTTAGGTAGAAAAGTCTGATAAGCAACCACCTGAACACCCTGAACTGTTAGCACAAGAAGTAACAAAATAGACAGATGAATGAGGTTCTAGAAAAAATCAAAACAGAAATAATTTCCCAGATAACTACAGAGGTGGTGAGCAGAATGAAAGACTTGATTAGAAATGCTAGAACAGAAAAAGATTTTTTTAAATACATGGGTTCAAGACTGTGACAGAAACCATGAATGGCCAACACAGGAAAGAAATAGGAATGATGAATGCACAACATAGGAAAGAAATGGAATCCATGAAACAGATTCAAACAGACATCTAGGCAATTAAAAACTATATAGAAAGTATGCATAACAGACTGAGCCAATCTGAAGACAGGATATCAGATATGAAAAACAGGATGGTGGTCAGTGACCATGAAAAGAGGGATCTCTTAAGAAAAAGAAGGGAACAAAAGAAATCAATCCAACAGCACATAGATAACACAAAGTAGAATAATGTAAGACTGATAGGAGTCCATGAAAAAGCAGGAGAAAGTACAACTGACATAAAAAATTGTTCACAGAATTAATGATAGAAAACTTCCCAAACAGAGCAAAAGAATTTGACATACACATAAGTGAGGCTTTTAGGACATCAACTAGCCATTGTCACAAAAAATCTAAAGCTACACATGTAATAATCAAGATCCCAGAAACCCAACAAAAAACAAAATACTATAAGCAGTTAGAGAAAATAAATAAATCACATGCAAAGCAAAGCCCATCAGAATCACAGCAGCCTTTTTAACACAAACCCTCAAGTCAAGGAGAGCCTGGAGTGAGGTATTTCAAGCCCTAAAAGAAAACAACCTCCAAACTAGACTGAAGTACCCTGCAAAGTGATCTTTCAAAATTGATGGGGAAATATGATACTTTCATGACA